GGGGGGGGGTCGGCTTTGCATCCGCGCCCCTCCTTCAAATAATCCTGAATCCGCACCTTGTATTGTCTGAATACCTACTTCTTGAAAAATAAACATCGCAACATAATTTAAGTGAATTCTTTTAATGAAAATAATGCTCATTTAACATCGGGCCTGCAACCGCTAAGAGAATTAGTTTTGACCTATTCTCGCCATTGGTCACAGGATATTTCCATTCACCCAAACCCAATATAGAGGTGCATTTCGCATGCTGAAGTGTCAAAAAATAAAAATGAATGAGTTCAAAATTGTATTCAATATTTCAAAACATATATGTGTATAGAACAAAAATCCACGACTGTCTCAACTGAAATTCAATTTTTAATTTTTACCATATCTTTAACATTACGCAAAGAGCCTCAGGGCTGTAGCCTCCGGGGGGGCAGGGGGGGGCAGCTGCCCCCCCCTGGGATTTGAGGTGCAAAAAAAAAAAAAAATAATAATCGCAAATGTAAAAAATAATTAATAAAATAATAATTAATAAAAAATAATTGCAAAGTTGGTATCAATTCTGTGAGAAAATGCACTCATGGCCACTAGACAATCATTCAACAATCTGTTAACAAAGGTGTACTGTTTTTAGCCAACTCAGTTCATGCCAAAAAGCTCACCCTCCCTTAGGGAGCTATCCTTAGGGGAGATATACTTATGGTAAAATGAACCCACAATTTCTGACTTCTGATTGAGCAATAAAACAGTTAAAATGCACCAGAATGCAGTATTATACATACAGTTTTTAAAAATTTTCCACACCGTGGGAGAGGGACACCCCCTCCCACACCCTCCCGCCTCGGGGGCTTCGACTCCTCGTGTCCGCTACTGCCCCCCCTGGCATTTTGCTCAGGCTACGGCCCTGAGCCTTATATGGTAACGTATGTTCCGAAGAACGTACGGTAACGTATGTTCTTGCCATTCAATTTTCATTTTTATGCCGCGTTCCGATATGTTTTTTAGTGGTTCAGTCATGGTAAATTAGACATGACGTAAGGACGTTTTTATAGCTATTTAAACTGTATCTCAAGGGGCTTTGCGTCATGGCTTATACTAGGTAACTTATGTTCCCTAGAAAAATTGTCAAAATGTTTCATTTTGTTCAAGTACTTGTGTGGAAGAGATACAATGTTTTCTTTTGCTGACCGAACAATATATTGTGGTTCCATGATAGTATAGTTTGACATTGAAGGGAAACATGTTTATTTAATGCTTATTTTACTGTCGGTAGGGTGTATTTTCCCCATTTTTTAATATTCTGTGACAAGCAAACTTAAGTCTCTCAAAAATTAACTGGTCTATACAGAAGATTATTATAATTTTTAGCAACGTTATACTTGTAGGAGATATATCAGTGAACAAAACCAGTGATGACTGAATTTTCAAAGTGAGTAGAACGTTTCACAGTTGGACGTTTTGTATTTGTGACAGTCACGTATGTTCCCTTTTGGGGTTAAAAGATGAATTATTTTTAATTATTCATGGTTCCAGGAGAATGAAACTTTTAAACAAGCTTCTTCATGTGGGACCCTAAAATAATCAAACACAGTTAGCAATCTGTGCAGTAAATATTTTTAATAACATGCTTGTGACATCAATTGCACCTCTATATTGGGTTTGGGTGAGCAATAGACTCCCGGCCATCTCTCTCAGTCTCCATCATTCTTTACCGAAGGAACTGATCGTTCAGAACTCGCGCCAAAGACTTGTGTCTGTCTCTCCAAAACTTGTTTACGTTAAATATATGGTGTATTTTTTAGTGAAGATGGTGAAAATGCAGTGAACAGTGTGCCTTAAATTTGTCAAGTTTTTGTTGTTGCATATTAACGACTTTCATAACGTGATCTGGTTTTTACCCTTGGCTCTATAGTCAGTCGATACTGGAGGGTAGGGATGCAATAGGCAGGTTTTTCAATGGTTCTTTAAAAGCGAACAATTGATACCAGTATGTGTTTAAAGGTCACAGCAACGCGAGGAAATAAAGGTTCTCGTTACATCTACAAGTGCAAGCCCGGCTGATTTGCGTCATAGGGCGTCAACATTAAAAAAGACACAATGACATCTCATATAGTTAATGATTTACTCGGTAAATACATATATGTG